CGAAGGAAATATGGCGGGAGTGTGTAGGAATTAGACATAGAAGGGGAGAGGAGTTGAAGCGAGGCGTGGGAGAACAAATTTTTTAAATAGTTTGTAGCGAGCGTAATATAGTTGTAATAACGATGCAGGAACAAATTACAGAGAAGCAAACAAATAAATATTAACGCAACAAATATACTTGATGTATATCTGTCTCGTGAGATGAATAATAATAATAATAATAAAAGAAAAAAAAAAGAAAAAGAAAAAAAAATGAACAAAAAGTAATGAAACCACTTGTCCGCCTTATGAAGCCAGAATACAATAGGTGATTGATTGATAAGAATCGACAAAGCAAAAGTAAAAAGTAAAGTAAATTAAAATAACGGTTAATTAACGATAAAGATTACTTCGTAGTGTGCAGTTACGCAGAGTTCGAGAATGGAAGGGTGGTTGAATGAAAGGAGACCGTAAATAAAAATGGTAGAGTGTAATGAGCATATTATACCTAAAGTGCGAAAATCGTGAAACGCTCGCCGCGTATTTATATCTCTTAAATATATATATATAAACAAGAAGACTCGCGCGTATATACGTGTCCGTACATATGTACAGGGTGTCTTCGTCGTTAGAGTGAAATAAAAGGAAAAGAAAAAATAGCAGGGAAAAATGGGGGGGAGGGGGAATAATGAAATTGAAGGAAACCCGCTCGATAAACGGGATTAATAAAACAGCGTCGCTCACAATTTTTGCACTTTGGTATCAAAACAATATCCCTGGGTCCCCCGAAATAGGGCATACGAATATAGCGCTACGTATACACCGGTTACATATGTGTACATATATTTTTGGATAAAGAACCCAGAAGAAAAAAAAAAAAAGAATTTTAAATCGAAATTCGGGCAGCGACGAGGACCACGAGGTTGTCCCGATGGATGGTTTCTCCACGCGAGGATCGTCCCACGAACGAGGGGACGGAAATTTTGGGCGAGGGAAGAATGAAAAAGCCACGGAAAGTTGTATCCTGGAACGAGTGAAAAGAATGGAAGAGAAAGAATTGCTTTCTTTTTTTCTCCTTTTCGTAATTTCCCGCGATGTCGAACATCCGGTACGCGCAGCCGATCGTCTGTTCGGCAATTTACGAAGGAATAACAACCGAGGAGGAAAAGGGAATTACGGAAAAGATGCAGAAAAAACGAAGTTGGCAACGAAAGAATTGGACGAGACTCGATAGCAATCCATCGGGAAAACATTGCGCGCGCGCGTCAGGCCCAAAAAAAATGTATTTATGAATATTTATTTACGCGAGATTAAATGAGATGAAAAAAAGAGGAAAATGATGAACGGAAGAAAATCTAATATATTGACGATTTAATAAAATAGATGGTCATAAGTTTAAGATATAAGTTTTATAATGAATACATATATATATTCATATAAATATATAGATTTATATGAATATATATATATTCATATAAATCTATATATATATATATATATTTACTTGTAAAGCATTTTACTG